CGAAGAGTCTGGTCTTGAAGATGGCAGGACAAAGCTTCTGTTCTCAGCTGCTGATAGACCAGCTCTGGAAGGACTGGCTGGAGCTACTGATGAGGAATTCTGAGCTCAACGAAGGTAGCAGGGGCTCTCCACAGGCCATGCGGTTGCTGAAGGTGTCTGAGCAGGGAGTGACCAAGGGTAAGTGGATGGAACATTCAGGGACACCAAGGGACTAAGACAAAGCATGCCAAGAGAGCTCAGTGATGCTGGCTTTGCATGCTCCTAGGGGTTTAAGAGAATGTGAACTTGAGAGAAAAGAGGTTGGCCTTGCACATTTCTGTGAAGGGAAACATCTCCTCCAACCACAGCCTTGGGGACAGGGGCTGCCTCTCATAGCAGGCTCCCTTCCTTCAGGGAATGAGGGGAGACTCACTGGGGAATGTATGGTGGGGCCTAGGGAGTGATGCCGAAATCAGAAGGTTCATTCTAGAAAGGGAAACAATTATAGATGAAGGTGGAGGGAGGCAGTGATGGGGGGGTGAATGGAACTTGTAAGCTACCTGGGCCACTGACCAGGTAACACCCACATTCTGAGATAGACTCTGAAAGGTCTACCTCCCAATTCAGAGAGGCTCAGGGGACATCCAGGAACATTCTAGTTTGGTGCATCATACAGTTCCTTACCCAGATGCCTCCTTCATGCTGCCATCCAAAGTCAAGCATGCCTGGTCCAAAGACTACTTGCAAACCTGTTCCTTGAAAGCTTGAAAAGTTCTCCCAGGAGCACAACACTGTAAGAATTGCTTACAGTCCTTGGTCAAACACCAATAGCTCAACTGAGAGAGCCATCCCTTTGCTTTTCAGTCTGAGACCTTCCCTTGTTGCATCATAGGTTTCTGTTGTAAAGCTTGCATGGACCCCAAAGTACAGACCACCATGGCCTGCCACACTGGGCGTGTCCTGAAGTTCTCAACACCCAGCCAAGGCTGCTACAGCCTGAGGAAGCCTTCTCGGGCCACTCAGGACAGTAATGCCCCTTGTCCGTGAAGACCATGCCCTCTGTGCTGCTTGCACTACATGTCTATCCCTCCTTGAATACTCCTCCACTGTGAGCCAAGTCGGGGAGCAGGAAGGGAAACGGAAGAGATACTTGTAAGGAAAAAGGCTCCAAAGTGAAAGGCGATGAAAATGCATCGAGGAATCTCCCAGGAGTATCATAAATGAAAGCATTGTGGAACAAAATGGAAGGTCTCAAGAGTCAGATGGCCTCTCTCCAACATACCAATGTCAAACCAGGTGAGCTCAGCTCCTCTCTGCTGGTTCTAAGTTCCTGTCCTGCCCACATTGTTTCCGGTATTTCTGATCCTGATTTTGACCTTGGCCCTCTGATCTCTCTGGCTAACATCCTGCAGGGCCTAGCAAGTGAGCTCCAAGCAAGTTCCTCACATGGGGTACACAGCACACTGCACATCTCCACTGCTGCCAGGCCCTACTTCAGTTGACCTGTTAATGGTTTTGCTTTCAGCTCTCCACACAGAATCCTCCCAAAAGTCATGCATGCCTCATTTTCTGCAGGCCTCTAAAGTGGAAAGTTCAGTTTCTAAATGTACCCTGTGAGACCCTGGACCACATCCCTGCTCTAGACCTATCTCCCCATCAGGTGGGAGTAGACACACACTGGTAGAGCTGGATCTAGGGTCCATATGATGCTCGGGGCCTGAATGACCAATGCTTAACGACTACTGCTCCAGTTTCCTCTACATCCAGCATCAGATATGTAGAAGATGATCAAACACTGACTGGCACATGTCTTCAGGTCAGCAGAAGCTGACTTTTCTCTCTAATGCCACATCTGGCTTATAAACTCACTCTCTAGAACAAACCCTGCCCTGGTTCTGCAGCCAGGAGACCCTTTCCAACTCAGGTTGCAGCTCCATGCGACACTTACATCCTCCCCAAAGCTTTACCTCTTACCATGCAGCTTTGGAGAATACCACCCTTCAGAGAACTAAAACACATTTTCTTCCCTTGTAAAAGTCCACACAAATGGTTGCCTCTGTAAGTCATTCTGTAGTATTGATTCTCCTGGAAAATATCACTGAAGCAGCACAGCTTTTTTTCTGGACCTAGGAAAATATTTGGGCCAACACTTCAACACTATCCTGAAGGAACTGGGGCCATCCAAGGAGGCAGACACTTGCCAAGGTCAGACAGCTGGGTGGGAACATTGCTGGACACTTAGTGCCCTGCAGGCAGGTTAGCAGTGGAGTGGCTTCAATTAATTTCTCCAGTTAATTAAGAAAAGGTATCCATGTGTATCAGCAATTCAGGAACAAAGGAGGAAGGTGAACAGCCTCAAATGACTTTTTTAGCCTGAAGGGAAAAAAGGCAACTTTCCTTTTAGTTCTTCTATCTCAAAAGTAGAGACCCAGGGGAACTGGGACAGTGCACCTTCCTCACAAAAATCCACTTCACACAATGTCTCTAAATGGCCTCTGCATCCCAACATCCCAGGAAGCCAAAGACCAAGGATGCTGTGAGGTCATATATGCCTGCAGGTCAGGGGCTCAATATCCCTCCTTCAAGTGGTTGCAGATCACAGGCTCCCGGGGTAGTACACATATCCCTGTCCTATTCCAAGAAAGGAGTGGGGAAAAGGACCGCAGATGGAAGAAATGATTCTGGGCAGATGCACTAGAGCCCCATGTGGCCAGAGCACCTGACTGCTCCTCTCTAGCTACCGAGTCCTCATAGTCATTCAGGGGGTCTGACCCACCTACTTCTGTGACTCACAGTGGCTCAGGAGAAGCTCTCTCCCTATCTCTCCCTCTAGAGAGAAAGGCCTCCAGGAGGAGAAATGTGAACAAAAGGAAGGCACCAAGGCCAAGAGAGGACCCACAGAGGAAAAAACAGCATCCTCAGAGCCAGGCAATCTGGCTCCTGGCTCGAGGCCCTGCCGCCGCAAATCGGGCGGCACATTTGTCTTGAGCATGGGCAGCCTTCTGTAGAACAGCATGTGATGTCTTTTCCCAGTCCCAAGCCACAATAAGGCCCCGGAAAAGCCACGTAGTCTAGGAACAGTCTGGAAAAAGGCACTGCAGGCTTTCAAACTGCAAGTTTTCAGAGATGTCTATGAGATACACACATATGAGTTTCCAGAACCTCCACTGGTTGTATGACCTGTGGATGCCATCAACCATCTGAGTTTACCTTTCAGTGGTCCCCTTCCAGGGTAATGACATCAGAACATTTTGAAATACATTACCTACAGGGGATGAGGATTAGCTCAGTAAAGTGCTTGCAGAGTACGCACAAGGAAGGCCCTGGGCTCTATCCTTGGCACATGCTTAAAATCCCAGCAATCCAGAGGTAGAGACAGGAGAATCGGAGGTTCAAGGTTATCCTCAGATACACAGAAGGCCAGTTCTAGGCCAGTCTGAGCTAGAGACCCTATAAGACTAATGAAAACTAAAGAAGATTGTTTATATTAAAACATTAACTCCAAAACTCAAATGGTTTTGAGTCTGGAAACTTTCCATTGTATTCCAGTGGGGTTAATGTATATCACTTTCCCAGGAGGTTGAAAACTCATACTCTTGGGGTGACACCATTGTGGACTCTAAAGCCCACAATGGGCCCCCTGGCACCAGGGGGCAACCCTGCACTAGGCCAGCCCCTCCCCTAGTCTCTGGTGCTGAAGCTGGGACTGTCTACTGTTCTCCAAAACCACCCATGGCTCCCACTCTGTAGAATCAGGTCCAAAGTCTTGGGCCCATAATTCAAAAACCTCTCTGGCCCTATTTCCTGTGCAGTCTTTAAAGTGTAATAAAAGCAAAACTGGATGGCATTAGAAAAATAGTACAGAGCTGATCCCTAACCCCAGCACTTAGAAGAGGGCACAGTGAGCAACGTTGGTCTCCTTAGGAGCCTCTGGGGCAACCCCATGGGAAAGGGCAGTCACACACTGCATTCCTTTGCCTTTCCCACCACCTTAGCCACGCCCCACCCGTCTTTACAGGGCTGCACATCCACTCTTTTAGAAGGGCCTCTGTCTAGCTCTTCTTCTCCTGGGGTGCCTTGATCACCTTGTCTTCATCTGGTACTGTATTCACGCACTTAACAGAAGCCTCTCACTCTGGCCTGGTTCCTTGGGGCGTGTCTTTAAATAGCGGTCTCCAAGGCCCCAATCCTGGAAGCCGTTTCCTTCCCAAAACTGTCCTAAGTAAGATGTGAACTGTCCTTACACCATGGGACACAGGAACCCTGGGGAGGGTCCTCTTAGACACCCTCTTAAACACCCCGCACAACACAGGCTGGAGATAACTGCTCAATGGGCATCTTTTAAAAAATTCTCAAAAGAGAGATCAAGAGCTAGAGCAAACTTTGGGAGCAACGTGCCTATGAGGAGCAGTAGGGTAGGGGCTCTTCATGCCACCGGACCAGAAAGCCTGCTGCTTGCAGTAGCAACTAAATCTCAGGGAACCACGGATAGTGTGGAGAAATCTGAGGGCTGCGGGAGTCTGGGTGCTCGACGAGGTTCTTCCAAGGCGGGCAGGCGGGCGGGGCGCCCCTGGCTCAGAGGCGGGGAGCGGACTGATGGCCAGGACCAGGCGCGGGTGAGTCTGCTGGGGACGCTCGCCCTGCACCGGCTGACCTGGCCGGACTGGACCTTCCCTTCCCTTCCCGGAACGTTCGCTCTGGACACACGAGCTTGTGGATGTTTCCCACGGAGGACAATCCAGCCCGAGCATCCCACGCCTGGAGCTGCAGACTGCCCCGGAGCGCGATCCCCAAGTACTCGGCGGCGCGGGGGACGCGGACGGCACCCCAGAGGGCCACCCGGAGCAGAGCGCGCGTGCTCGGCCCAGAGCCGGTGAGTGTCCACCCGGGAGGTGCGGATCATCACATCCGCGCCGCGCCGCACCACGCCGCGCTCCGAGCCCCGAGGCCAGCACAGCACAGCCGCGTCCCGCCCGCGGCCCTCTCGGGTGATGCAGACACAAAGAGGACGCGTCACCTACCTGGTCCCGCGCGGTCGGGCTCCCGCTCGGCCTCTGCGCGCGCGGCTCGGATGGCTGCGCCGGATGCAAGCTTGAGGGTGCCGGTGCCTGCCGTCGGCTTCTAGGCGCGCAGCAGCCCGCCGGGTACCGCAGAGTCCTTTATGCCTTCTCCGCCCTGCACCCGGAGAGCAACCCGCGCGGAGGAGCGGCGGGGCGCGAGCGCGCACTGAGCGCGGGCGCGGGAAGACCGGCCAGCACGCCCGCCAGCGCCCCCTGCTGTCCAGCGGCGCCGCCACGTCCACTCAGCCGAAGCTGGGTGGCAACCCTTTGACCAGTGCCAAAGGACCCGAGTCATCCTCACCAGTGGTGGAGCCGTCAAGGGATGCAGGATGCTCCCTGCTTTCAGCACTAGAAAGACCAGCGTCAAGAGCTAGAAAGGAATGGGTGAACCAGCATAACCCTGCCAGCGAGAAGCTGGGAAGCCCGCTGAGCTGGGCACCTGGAGCCCCAGGGTGGAGTCTGGCCATATAAACAGTGAGACACAACGTCGATTTGATGATCTGCCCTTTAAGGACATTACCATGAAGACTGTAGCTTTTCTGTGCTAACAAACAAGAATTGCCTTTTCACCCAATGATGTGCATGGATAGAGAAGAGACGGCAACTTGGATGGGCTGGTGGGTCTGTGCATATTTGAGGAGCAGGCATGACAATTCATTTGTTTTTCTTAGAGCCCAAGATCAATTGCTGAATGTGGAGTTCTCACATTCCAGTAAGTTGCTGGAAGTTCACGGTTATTAAGCAGCATGTCAGACATGCATAACTGAATGAAACCAATGGGTATGTATTATGATTTCAATGTGAAATGCCTCCACAGGCTCTTGTTTTGAATGTTTGATCCCCAATGATATTTTGTAAGGTTCTGGAAACTTAACTAGGGGCAAACCCTTGGGGTAGGATTCATACTCTCTCTCTCTCTCTCTCTCTCTCTCTCTCTCTCTCTCTCTCTCTCGTCAACAGTGAGAAAATATCATCTGCTACTCACTCTCACCACCATGCTCTTCCACTCAGGCACTTGGGCTCAAGTGGCTGTGAACTGCACCCTTTGAAACCCTGAGCCAAAATAAATCCTTCCTCCCCTACGTTGTTTCTGTCAGCCATTTGGTCACAGCTACACACAAGAAACAAATACAACTGGAAAACAAAACAAAACAAAAAAAACACACCTCCTCCAACAGAATTGTGGGAAAGCCATTCTAGTGTCATCCCTTCATATCATACCTTCACAATGCGTGGTCTGAATTAGAGCTTCACCACCACGTGGTCAAGGAGCCACTTTGGAGCCGCTTTGCATTTCCACTTTCCTGTGTGGACAATGTAGGTGGCAATAGCGTGTATGCTCCAAAGCTGCTGGGAGGGTCCAGAAAGTCAGATGCCATCGCAGCAGACTGCAGAGCTGCCTCCGTCCTAACTTCTCTCATTTCCCCAAAGAATTAAACCAGAAGATGTTTAACAACCTTGAAGCTGTGCATAATCTTCCTCTTCTGCATTCGTATCACTGTGTGTATGTGTGCACTTATTTGTCTATATACATGTCTATGGGTATACATGCCTGTGTGTGTATGTGCAAATGGAGGCCAAAGGTAGATTCTGGGTGTCTTCTTCTGTCTTCTCCATCTTATTATTTTTGAGACGGGGCCCTCACTAAACCTGGAACGTACTGATTTGGCTACACTGACTGGCTAGCAAGTCTCAGGGATCCTCCTGTCTCCACCTCCCCAGTGCTGGGGTTACAGGCAAGCACCACGACAACCCAACTTTTTACACGAGTGCTAGAGATTGAACTCCAGTCCTCATACTTGTGTGGGAAGCACTTTACTGACTGAGCCATCTCCACAGCCCCTATATTGACATCTTCACCAGTTACTATGTCAAATATTTCCTTTCTTCAAAGACACGCATTTTCTAGGTGTGATGTCTCACATCTATAAACCTACTACTCTGAAGGTTGAGGCAGGAGGATTAAGAACTCAAGGCCAGCCTGGACTAGATAGTGGGATGCTGTGTCAAGCTAAAACAAAACAAAGACATGTACTTGCCTTCTGGTGCCTTGGTCGCCATCACATTCTCTGTATAAATGTCATTATTCAAGAAAAATGCACAGTGTGAACAATCCTAACAACAGCACTTTGTTGCCGTGGCCTCTCACTGGAAGACAGGAATAGTTCTGCCTAAAGGCCTGAGCATTGAGAGAAATGTGTTCACACCTCCCCTAGCCCAGTGGGGGAGCAGAAAAGTTATGAATGAAGGGTTGAGAGAAAGTATGGGTGGGTGGAAGCTCACAGTGAGTGGGAGCTTCTGTATTGAGATACTCTGTGCTTCCCTGTAACAGCAAGGTGTAGAAACCCGCTGTTTCATGGGGGATGCAGATGGGCATCCAGGGAAAGGTGAAAATCCCTCCCTCATCCAATTGCACAAATGAGACCTGCTTATGCTGTGCCTATGTGCCTTCAGTCCCATGCCCCTTTGTCTTGGCTAATGTCATCATAGTTGGGGAGACAGGCAGAGGGAACACTACATGGGCTTTGAACACATACCTTACAGCTGGTCATAAAATGCGTCTCTGTTCAGTTATGTTTATGAAGCCTTCCCAAATCCCATTCCCATCCCAAATGGAGATTGTAGATCTCCAAATGTGTTTAATACTTTGTTTTTATGTGGGCTACTGAATTTGCTGCACTTCATTCACTGGGTATTTGCTGTAAAGCTTAGATCTTCAGAGTCCATAGAATACCTTCCTGTGAGCGTAATAAATCCTCAATATTGAATGAAGTTGGCTTCTCTGAGCTCTGCTTCTGAGCAGCACATGCTGTTGTCTCTAGCAAGCTGCCTGGCTCTTAAGGACGATCCAACCCTATGGTGGCTTTTCAATCCAACCCCCAAGAGATGGGGGGCAGATGATTGACTGACCATCTCCCTCCTAGGGCAGCCACTGTGAGCCCATTTGAAAGACCTTACTGTTAGTCTCTGTGACAGTGGTGCCTCTCACCATCACTCACTGAAGAAGCGTCTTCACCCACAGTGGGCAGCCTGTGCCCGGGGGAAAGCCTGCCAGAGTACTGATGCTAATGGAAACGGTCCAGAGGTTGAAAAAGTAGAAACGCATTGGGAAGGTTTCTTCCAGACACAATAGAAGAAAGTTCTAAACTTACAGCTGTGGCTTAATTGTAAAAGGAATGAAAGGAGAAAGAAAATAGACAATGGAGTTTGTTTGAACTCTAATCACACTTGCTAACTATAGAATTCACATTCACATTCTTTTAACTTTTTTTTCTTTTTGAGACAGTCTCATTCTGTAGCCAGACTGAACTGGAACTCACTCTGTAGCCCAGGCTGTTCTCAAACTTGTAATCCTCCTGCCTTAGCTTCCCAAGTGCTGGGATGACAGATGTGTGTCACCCTGCCCAACTTAACTTTGTCCTTTAAAAATTTTTATTTATTATTTTTACTTAATGTGCTTGAGTGTATCGCCTACATGTGTGTAAGTGCATCCATGTCATGCAGTGCCCTCAGAGGTCAGAAGAGGGCGCTGTATCCCCTGGAACTGGAGTTACAGACAGCTGTTAGCCACCATGTGGGTGCTAGAAATTGAACCTGGGTCCTCTGCAAGAGCAGCCAATTCTCTTAACCCCTGAGCCATCTCTCTAGCCCCCAACTTTGTCATTTTTTGTTTAAATTTAATTTCCTGTTTCTAGACAGGATGTAGGGAATGAATGTCATTCCTCCTTCTGCATCCTTAGGACATGAAGGATCCAGGGGGGCTTTGTGTTTTTGGTGACATAGGATATAATCTCTCACCTTTAGCACCTTTGCTTACTAATCTCATTTCTAGAAGCCACTCGGAAGCAGGCGCATGGTGCTTTTCTGCAGTGTGCACTGTTCCAAGTGAGCCAGGCAGCCTTACCAGGTGAGATCTCAAAAGGAGGGAAGTTTAACTATCCACAGGATCATCGTGGAAGACTTCTTGCCCACACTCATCTTCAGCCATCTCTAAAAGCTTTCTTTCTTTCTCATTCTTGTCATCCTGGGTAAGTTTACCAGTGTTGCAATGTGCACATAAGACAGGCTCTCCTCCAGCTGTGTCAAGATTTCTAGAAGGTGAAATTGAAGAAAATGCTTCACTCAGTCACTTAGCAACACTGGTAACCCTTGAATTGTGTCTTTCCCCTCAAAAAATTATGTCAAAGTCCAAATACTAGGAGCTCAAAACATGAACATTTTGGAAGGAGGGTCATTGCAGTGACACTGGCTATGATGCAGTCAGATTAGAGTAGGTTGTCCTTAGGAAAAGGGGAAATGGAGACAGATGAGACAGATGTACACCTTCTCAGGGATAGCATCATGTGACCATGAGTTCAGGATGGGAGGTGCTTCTTTTTTTTTTTTTTTTGTCGTTTTGAGACAGGGTCTCCCTGTAGCCCCAGCTGTCCTGGAACTCACTATATAGACCAGGCTGGCCTCAAACTCACAAAGATCCACCTGCCTCTTCCTCCCGAGTGCTGGGATTAAAGGCATGCACTACCACGCCAGGAGGTGCTTCTTTAAACCGGGGTACAACTAAAGACAGACTATCAGAGGGTCGGGAGAGCCTGGAGCAGGTTCTCCCTGCCAGCCAGACCATACCTACAGCAGCTCAGACATATAAACTCCGTCATAATAAATTGCATGTCAGCTTGCTTGGGCTATGGGATATCCAAAGAGTCATGCCTCTGAGAGTGTTTCTGAGACAGGTTAACACTGGAACCAGAAGACTAGGTAAAAAGACACACCCTTCCAAGAAGCATGGTCCAACCCACTGAGGGTCTGAACAGAAAGATGGATCCAGGGTGCTTTGCTCTCTACTGAGATGGACATACATTTCCTAGGAGAAGTTGGGACTTCTTGGCTCTTGGACTTGATCTCCAGGACTTGCTCCAGTTTGTGCCCCCACCACCCAAAAACCCATCCTAGTCTCAGGCCTGTTGTCTCAGATTGAGTCTCAGCAGCAGCTCCTAAGTTCTCTGCCTTACCTGTGGCAGATCTTGGGACTTCCTGATCTCTATAATCATGTGAGCCAATTCCAGTACATGCACTGGATCCCAGACTTCTATATAATATATTTGTACATATGTATATAGTGTTATTCTACACATTCTATAATATATTTGTATATAATATATGGAATATTTTTCTAGTAGATCTGTTTCTCTAAGCAACCTAGTCTAGCAAGAAGAACTCACCTCCAGAACTATGAGACAATAAACGTTGTGGTTTAAGCCACCAATTGGCCCAGCAAACTAAGGCAAGTACCTGGAACATGCCATTGTGTAACTACATGTTGGAGAATATGTGTAATAATAAAGATAAAAGTGTCAAGGCCAGGCATGGTGGCACACGCCTTTAATCCCAGCACTCAGGAGGCAGTGGCAGGCAGATCTCTGTGGGTTCAAGGCCAGCCTGGTCTACATAGTGAGTTCCAGGACAGCTGGGGCTATAGGGAGACCCTGTCTCAAAAAGATAAAAAAATAAAAAAATAAAATAAAAAAATAAAAGTGTCATCCAAAGGTGGTAAGACTAATGACAGTAAATGAAAAGGTTACAGAGTTAATAAAAGTATTTTTCTGGCATTCTTCTAGAAGATAAAGACATGCTATATCTTGTTCACTACCATACTTAGCAGTGGCAGGGAAAGTTCCAGACATTCAATACATATTAGTCAAAGGAAATAAGTGGGGCCTGTGGATGTGGCTCCATTGGTAGAGTGCTTGCCCAGCAAGCAAAACGCCCTGGGTTTAATATCCAGAACTGCATAAACCATGTGTGATGGCACATGCCTGTGATCTCAGCGCTTAGGAGATGCAGAAAGATCAGAAGTTCAAGGTCATCTTGGTTACATAGGGAGTTCAAAACCAGCCTTGACTACATGAGACCCTGGTTCCTCAAAAAAAAAAAAAAAAAAAAAAAAAAAAAAACTTCCTGCCTCACATATCTCTGGGT